GTACATCCAATGGCTCCTTCTTCATCACCTCTTCTTCTTACAAGGTTAAAAAAACATAATATTTTTCATGAAAAATGTAACCTTTTTTTATTTATTGATTTGAATACTGATAAGGGTCACTCTTTGTTTGCTCGTTTCGACTGATTTGGATGTTTTGTTTTGTGTGGGTTTTTGGTGGCATGCACTGAAATGTTGAAACAGTGAATCAGGTGAAAAATATGCGAATGTGAAATGGGAAGAGCTTGGATTCGCTTTGATTCCGACAGATTATATGTATGTAGCGAAATGCAGACAAGGAGAGAGCTTTTCACAAGGAAAAATTGTTCCTTATGGTGACATTTCAATTAGTCCTTGTTCTCCAATTCTCAATTATGGCCAGGTTTTGTTTTTGATCTTCTTCACTAAACCAATGTTACTTTACTTTGTATGGTTAGATTATATGAATTTGGAGTTTAATTAGAACATGATTAAGAAATTAGTAGCCTTTAGTCTCTGGATTCGTAGATTGTGTATTGTTGTTTGATTGAGTGTATAAGCAAACAAAAAGGCTATAACTTTAGTGTCTATGTAAAAAAGATTTTGATTTTGGTTTGGCTTTGTAGGGACTATTTGAAGGTCTTAAAGCATACAGGACAGAAGACGACCGGATTAGGGTATTCCGGCCTGAACAGAACGCTCTTCGTATGCAGACTGGTGCGGAGAGGCTTTGTATGACAGCTCCTTCTATGGAGCAATTTGTCGAGGCAGTTAAGCAAACCGTACTTGCCAATAAGAAATGGGTAAGGACTATGAACCAATGTGTCTCTAATTCAATTTGATATGATTCTTGGTCATAACTTGCTCTCATTTCTAGAAGTACCTATAAAGTGTAATGGTTTTTTGGGTTTTAGGTCCCTCCTTCGGGTAAAGGAGCTTTGTATATTAGGCCTTTGCTCATAGGTAGTGGTGCTATTCTTGGAGTAGCTCCAGCACCTGAATATACGTTCCTCATTTATGTATCTCCCGTTGGAGATTACCATAAGGTGAGTTTGCGTGTTATTGTTTCAAATACTTGGTGAAGTAAACTCTGCCTAAAGACTCTTTAGAGTTGAGAAATAGTTAAACCGCTTTTGTTGTTCTTGTAGGTAAGCTCAGGCTTGAACCTTAAAGTTGATCACAAGTATCACCGAGCCCATTACGGTGGAACGGGTGGTATCAAGAGCTGCACAAACTATTCTCCAGTAAGTTAAAAGAGACACCAGAAGTTATATATATTTCATCCATGGCAACAAGTTAATGGAATATTTATTTTCTCTGATTTCTTCTTTTATAAACTTTGAAAGGTTGTGAAATCGTTGGTTGAAGCAAAGTCATCGGGTTTCTCTGATGTCTTGTTCCTGGATGCGGCAACTGGTAGAAACATCGAAGAGGTTTCTACATGTAACATCTTCATTGTCAAGGTAATTCAACATTAGATCACACATAATCTAAAGATTCAACCTTCTATATTCTTTTGTAATCATTCATTTTACAGGGAAACATTGTGTCCACTCCACCAACTTCTGGAACCATTTTACCTGGAATCACAAGGAAAAGCATAAGCGAGCTAGCTCGTGATATCGGCTACCAGGTACCAAATTTCAATCATTCATTCAATATGATAATACCCTCTCGTATTAGACATTTTCACGAAAAATCAAGATTCTTAGATTGTGATTCACAAATGTTCACAGGTTCAAGAACGCGATGTTTCGATAGATGAGCTTCTAGAAGCAGAAGAAGCTTTCTGCACAGGAACTGCAGTGGTCGTTAAAGCTGTTGAAACTGTGACCTTCCATGACAAGAAGTAATTAGGTTTTCTTAAACATAAAAGATCCTTTCATCAAATCTTCAATGTTTTCCGACAAATTCTCGTGTTGATTTCGGTTTCATATTTATCGCTGAACGCAGGGTAAAATACAGGACAGGAGAAGAAGCATTGTCTACAAAGCTTCATTCGATGTTGACGAGTATTCAAATGGGTCTTGTTGAAGATACAAAAGGTTGGATGGTGGAGATCAATCGTTGTTAAGGTTTGAAAAGAAGAGATTTGGAAAAAGCTGATGCAAATTATCTTTCTCAAGCTCAATGTGTGTCTTCTCTCTTATTAGTATTTTATTTTTTGCTCCTTTTCTTTTTAGAGACTTATAAGTTGTAATGAAAACCTCTTACGATACAAGAGGTAAGAGTGATCACAGTCGTTTCAAGGTCTTGTATGGCATCATTGAGATAAGTGGGACAAGGGTCGTTAATTCTTTATTGACCATAGAGTTAGTTGATATCATTATTGACCATCACTAAATTTGAGAAGAAACAAAATTGGCGATAAACATCTTGTCTATTTGAAAGACTAGCTAGACAATATCCTCAAGAATTTGCTCCGGGCTTGAAGATTTTTTTTTCTTTACCGAGAAGTTTAGGTTCGTGATCCATAATCTTCTTTAACCGAGAACAAAAATACGTAAATTAGTCCCCTCTTATATCAAAACCATCGTAATCCCAAGCGATGTGGGACATTTAACAATAATTCTTAGAACATGATATATTGGCTTTATAGAATGTAGTTTTGTTTTCTTTATAGAATGTAGTTCTGTTTTCTTTATAGAATGTAGTTCTTCCGTAACACTTTTGTGTGTTTTACTCCCATCAATTTGTCAAAATATTTGAGAGAAACTCTTTTGATATATTGGCTTGGGTTTGCAGGGACTATTTGAAGGTCTGAAAGCTTACCGGACAGAAGATGGACAGATCACGCTCTTCCGGCCGGACCAAAATGCTCTTCCTATGCAAACTGGTACTGAAAGGCTTTGTATGACATCTCCTTCTGTGGAGCAATTCATCAAAGCAGTTAAGCAAACTGTTCTTGCCAACAAGAAATGGGTAATTGGTTCTTAATCCCATAAGTGATCTCTATATAAGTAGCTAAAGAGTGTTACGATTTTTCTGTTTTAGGTCCCTCCTCCGGGTAAAGGAACTTTGTATATAAGACCTTTGCTCATAGGTAGTGGTGCTATGCTTGGATTAGCTTCAGCACCTGAATATACATTCCTTATTCTCCCGTTGGAGAATACCACAAGGTGAGTTTGTTTGTTATTCAAATACTTGCTGAAGTAAAAATGCCTAAAATATTATGGGTCTTCTTCAATACTATTAACTAGACTGGGATCCGCATAATAAATGGCAAACCAGAAAATAAGAAAATGAAATTTTTATTTGTTTATAGCAAAATTTAAGTATCTGACAGACACATGGTAAAATGTAGTTGACTTTGTAATCTTGTAAACTGGAGTATTTAATTTGTCACATGGTAACTAGATGTCTAGATCTAATTCGTAAGTTAATAATTAAAACACGATATTTGTTAATTTCTTTTGTGGGTTATGGCAAAACCATCTTTTAACATATGCAATTAGAGTACTTGAACATGATACCAATTAATAAGATAAAAAAATTTATATGATTAACAAATAGTTTGAGACGGTCCTAATGATCTCTAGCACCCTATCAAATACAATAATGCAGCCGAAAGACTCTTTAAGTTGAGCGCTGGTTTGTTTGTCGTCTTGTAGGTAAGCTCCGGCTTGATGAACCTCAAAGTGAAACATCATAATTACCACAGATCCCATTTCGGTGGAACGGGTGGTGTCCAGTAAGTTAAAGATATCAGATCTTACTAAGGCTAATGAATTGATTTTTAATGCAATATTTCTCTGATTTTCCCCTTTTGTATACCTTATCAAAAGGTTGTGAAATCGTTTCTCGAAGCAAAGTCATCAAGTTTCTCTGATGTATTGTTTCTTGATGCGGCAACTGGTAAAAACATCGAAGAGCTTTATACTTGTAACATCTTCATTGTCAAGGTGAATAACATTATCACATATATATAAGTTTATATAACATATAAAGTTTCAACCTTTTAGATTCCTTTGCATAAACTCATTAGTAATCATATATTTATAGGGGAACATTGTGTCCACACCACAAATTTTGGGAACCATTTTACCAGGAATCACAAGGAAAAATATAAGCGAGCTAGCTCGTGATATCGGCTACAAGGTTCTTGATGATTTACCTTTTTGTATGTAGAAATTTACAAAAATTCAAGATTCATAGATTGTGATTCATGATGGTGTTATAGGTTGAAGAACGTGATATTTCTGTGGATGAGATGTTAGAGGCAAAAGAAGTGTTCTACACAGGAACAGCAACAGTCGTTAAAGCTGTTGAAACCGTGACAAAAAGTAAATTAGTTTTTCTAAACTTGAAGACTCTTCAATCAGAACTTTGATCTTTTTGGGTTACTTTTGGTTCATATGATCTATCTTTGACATGCAGGGTTAAATACAAGACAGGAGAAGAAGCATTGTCCACAAAGCTCTACACGATGTTAACCGATATTCAAATGGGTATTGTTGAAGATAAGAAAGGTTGGATGGTCGAGGTCGATGGTCGTGATGATTTGAAAAGAAGTCTAAAATCGAGGAAAAGGAAACCAATGTTTTTGCCTTTGTGTATGATTTAAAATGAAGTGAAGAAAGAAGGAAAAAAATTGTGTGATGATTTTGTCTATGTTTTGTTTCTTTGTTTTTTTTTAATGAATTGTTTCTTGGTTTTTAATCAAAACAACGATTTAGATGGAAAAAAATTGTGATTGAATTGAACTCGTACGGATTACACGTATGCTAGTAAAGTCAAGGGACGGCTCAATAATGCTTAATAAATTTAAAGGTCCTGTACAATTCTCAAAAAAATTTGGTCTTCTATTCATAAGTTTTGAAAAATTTGGCCCTATATTCATAACTTTATTCATATTTTTTTCTAAAAAAAATTAGCCCTTTAATTTTTTAAAAATTAGCTTAAATTGGCCCCTGCCATTTGCTTCTCCTGCACATGTGAAGAACCGCCCCTGGTAAAGTCCAAACATAGAAATTAAAGAGCTTCTTCAATGGCCAGCAAGGAAGATTGTTCCTTATGGCAACAAAGGGAATTATTATTTGCTTTACGGACTTTATCGACTTTCGCTAAGTTTGTAGTTTACACATGGGAAAAAAGCATTTACTGTCGATGATAGCGGAGAAAAGAAGAAGATAGATCATAATCCAAAATGATTAGTAGAAGCATCTGAACTTTATGATACCTTGTCTTAGTTTCATATATGGATGTAAAATAGATTGAGTGATGCACAAGAAATCTGTGGTTTCTAGGGTTTTATCTAAAGTATAAAGGTCTCTGAGTTAATCGCCCGAGAGATGATGATCCGGTCGATGCGGTTCCCGTCTACAAACGGGCACGAACGGATTGGTAGTACACTCAAATATTTAGTGTTTTTTTTTAACGCTGAATAATTTTGTTTTTCATTAAAAAGGAAGAAGAAATAAAATAAAATTAATGACAGCTGTGGAACTTGAACCCACGCCCTTAACGGAACAAACTCTTAATCTGCCGCCTTAACCACTCGGCCAAACTATCTTTTATTGATAAACGTTTGATAATTTAGTAATTATCCAGAATTTTGTAGCACAAGCCTTCGATGAGTTTCAACGGGATGATTTATCTGTTGGAAWGAGCTTCGTGTCCTTCTAGTTTCCTTATAGCTCATGACTTCTATATCCCTGAAGAAGGTATTGGTCAATGTCGGGTTATACCTCTCCCTCTCCCGGATAACAGACACGTTAGGAGATGTTTGACTACTTCAGGAGGAGATGTTATCTACATTGAATTACTAGATCAAAGATTGAAGGTTTGGAGGCTGAATAATAGCAACAACTCTAAGAGTAGTGAATGCTGGCAATTGTTACGGCGAGAGATCAATATGACGTTTGTCCGATTTGATGTTGATTGTATTCCTTTGGCAATGAATGCGTTTGATGCTGATATCGTCTATCTATGGAATCTACAACACGGTCGTTTGGTATCCTGTAACTTGCAGAAACAAGAGTTTATTCTTCATCTAGAATCAGGGAATTGGAGTAGCAGTGAAGGTTGTTTTTCGTCCAATTCTAAGGAGTATGTGGAAGTTAATCGTTATTCAATTTCGGCCGTCAAGGTATCCCAATTTGTTCTCTCACAATGGCTGGACTCTGTACCTCGACCACCAAGTTGATTATTCTTCTTAGGTGAGTTGGTAACTTTTGCAAACCTTGTTCTTCAGTGTTTATGTATTTTTTGGTTTGTAAATAGAACATATTCGTTACGTCTATCAGATCTGCTCTTTTGTGATGACTTAAATGCTCTCAAATCAGAACATATTCGTTTTTTTCAAAATCCTGTTTCAGCTATAACTTTCTTAGCATGGCTTTAAGAACTTCAAGTAAGGGCATGATCATGTTGTCTTCAGTTATTTATTTAATGATCTCATAGTGTAAAGAAACAGATACATCTGCTAGCTGATGTTTGTCTCGATACAGTAACACGGACCCATTTTCCGCATTTGCAAGCAGAGATGTTTTTGATTGGGAATGTGGTTCATATTTTAGGTTTCTTTTCTGTTCAAAGAAAATAGAGAAGAGTGAGAACGAGCTAGGTCAAGAAGCTTCCAAGTTCTATAAGATGGCGTATGCGGTATATCCTTCGCCGGTTTTGTTTATGAACGACTACAATATGATGTAAGGTAGTCGAAACTTGAAGACCACGCCGGACAAGTACTTAAAAAAGTTAAAATTGATTCTGGTGGGGATCGGTTTAGAGGGAGATTGGTTCACTCCGGTTAATCTTCCTTACATGAGATCCATACTGGCTGCCACCGGATTTGCTTATCTGGCTTACTAAGATTGATGTTCAACGCATAAGAAAGAAAAGGAGATTTGCTTGTAATGCAAGAAACCCGCATAGGAGTGCTTACTTAAAAGTTGAAACACAACAAGTACCAAAGACGGTGTTGTAGGAAACAAAATTAGAT